TATGATTTCAAAGGACACCAACTATATTGAAACATGAAAATATTTTTTAAATTATGATAAAATAATACATGTACTTCTTCATTAACGTATTCAATAAAAAGATCTTGCAGCAGGTCCAATAACCACTATAATTTCAAAGTGATAAGCATAAACAATATTTCAAAAGATATGCAACAACTATAATATCTGAGACTTCTATTGGTAATAAAGTCATGGAATATTGTGGTATATTGCCTCTACTTAATAATTGAAGGCAATGCTATATTTTAGTTAAAGATTGGTGAAAATAATGATGAAATTTCTTTTGTATTCAAGCTCATGGGATTCCGAATTCTATTCATGGACTTTTGGACCAGGCAATCTCTAAGGTCCATACCAGGTCTTACAACCTATGACTTCATGATTTAGAACCGTAGGCTGACAGGGAGTTGTAAGGGACTATTTGGGAAACTCTTTCCATCCATGGCCTTGGTAGTGTGTTTGGTTTTCTATACAGAGGCCTAGAGAAGAACTGCTTCCCAAGGAGCAAGTTATGCCTGCTGTATTCAAAGTGAATAAACGGGTTATACTCCCAAAGACTGCCTCATCCCTCCAGCAATTTAAGTAGTACTTGAACGGTTTACTTATATAGAAGAGCTTTTAAAAACCCTAGAGGCAGAATTTGGCTAAATGAAAATTCAGGGAGGAAGGAAGAAAAATGAAGTCAGCTGTAAGTTACTCCTGTAAACAGAAGAAAAAAGGTAAGAATTATCCACAAATAATAGATAATCCAGAGACATTTGCTTTGCATGTAAACAGGAGAAATAAGGTAAGGATTATCCACAAATAATAGATAATCCAGAAATATTTGCTTTACGTTGCCGTCACAGGACACAGCTTGGAGGAACACACTTGTAAATACAAGCACAGACTCAGCCTTCATAGGTTCACTCCACTCCCTGTTATCTGCACTCAACCACATTTTCACTTGATCCTCTTAAGCCTCAAGTAACTATAGATCATCTATATGTATAACTAAGTCATACTTTAAAAGTAGAAAAAGAAAGAAGAAAAAAGCTTAGTTGGATGACACCCAATTTACACAATGATCAGAGTAAGCGATCTCACAAAAGAGCAAACAATAAAGGGGACAGTTCTGCCTTGGACTATCTGAGCAAAATCATCTGTTAAAGAGTCTCAACCACAACGCTTTTTCACTGCCTTTGTGTCTCAGGGGCTCTTCCTAGTACATGGCTAAGAGTCTAGAATGTTTATCCCTTATTCTAGGCATAAAAAACACTAGTTGCTGTCCAGTTGACTCCAACTCATGGTGACCCCATCTGTGTCACAGTAAAACTGTGCTCTGTAGGATTTTCAATGGCTTATATTTTGGAAGTAGATTGCCAGACCTTTCTTCCAAGTTGCTTATGGGTGGATTCAAACTACCAACCTTTTGGTTAGCAACAGAGTATGTTAACTGTTTGCACCAGCCAGGAACTCCACTCTAGGCCTAGCTATTCTTATTCAACCTTCAGTCTCAGCTTAAATGTCATGTTCTGAGGAAGGTCTTCACTCCATCCTGATCTTTTCCTTTACAGCATTTATCACAATTTGTCATTTGTAATCATGTATTTGTGGGTTTACTTGTTCACTATCTGTCTTCCCACTGAACTACAAGCCTCATGACCATAAGGATCTTATCTATTTTGTTCATCATTGTATCCAATGCCCAGTACAGTGGCTGGCACACAGTTGGTGCTCAGTAAATTTTTTTTATTGTGCTTTAGGTGAAACTTTACATAGCAAATTAGTTTCTCATTAACCAATTAACACACAAATTGTTTTGCAACATTGGTTGTCAGCCCCGTGATGTGTCAACACTCTCCCCTTCTCCACCCCCAGGTTCTCAGCAATTTTCCTGTCCCTACCTGCCTTCTCATCTTTGCTTTTGGGCTGCGGTGCCCGTTTAATCTCGTGTACATGACTGAACTAGGACGCACTTTCCTCACGTGTGTTACTGTCTGCCCTTTAGACTTGTCTAATCTTTGGCTGAAGGGTGAATCTCGGGAGTGACTTCGGACTGAGTTAAAAGGGTGTCTGGGGACCATACTCTCAGAGTTTCTCCAGTTTTTGTCAGACCAGCAAGCCTGCTCTTTTTTTGGTGAATTTGAATTTTGTTCTACATTTTTCTCCTGCTCTGTCCGGGACCCTCTATTGTGATCCTCGTCACAGCAGTCGGTGGTGGTAGCTGGGCACCATCTAGTTGTTCTGGGCTCAGTCTGGTAGAGGTTGTGGTCCATTAGTCCTTTGGACTAATCTTTCCCTTATGTCTTTGGTTTTCTTCATTCTTCTTTGGTCCTGCTGAGATGGAATCAGTAGATGTATCTTAGATGGCCGCTTTTAAGACCTCAGATGCTACTCACCACAGTCGGATGTAGCACATTTTTTTTTGTAAACTATGTTATGCCAGTTGAGCTAGATGTCCCCCAAGACCATGTCAGTAAACATTTGTTGAATGACTAAACAATTAAATAAGGTCAACAATGACTTCCTTTTTGCTAAATCCATTGCATTTTTTCCTTTAAATTTTTTAAAAATAAATTTCATGATTTTCCTGATTACAAAAATAATACTTGTATTAGAGAGTATAAAGAAGAAATTAAAATAAACTGCAATTCCATCACCCGGAGATAAAAGCTTTATATTGGTATGTTTGTTTACATTTTCTTATTGTTATATCTTTGTACATGTAGAAATCCATGAAATGTAATTAAAATTATACCTCATATATCATCTTGTATCTTGACTTTTTTCGCTTGACATTCAATGATAAGAATTTTTCAAGTCATTAGAACGTCTTCTAGAACATCTCTTAATAAGTTCATCACATGTTCTTATATGACTGCACCATCGTTTATTTAACCAATTCCATGTTACTGGGCCTGTAGATTAATTCTGAATTTTCACTATTATAAACGATGCTGAAATGCACATCTTTGTGTGCTGATTTTTGCATGGTCTCTTTTCAGTCCTATTCATTTTGTGCTGAATGAATTTTCTATTGCTTCTGACCTATAAAAATGTCATTTTTATATGAACCAACCAAATACTTGATCTTTCGGTGTCATTTACTGTCAGTGTTCACTCCCCTCAAGTTTGTAACTCTTTCCCCACTTGCTCTTAAGCTTTCTACCTCCCTAATCATTTTCGTCTTGGTCTCTTTTGCCCTCCAGTCTACCTAAACTCCTTTGAATGCTAGTGCTCCCTGAAGCTCTGCCCCTGGCCGCTTCCTGGTGTGCACATTCCCTCTGGGCAATGTCACCCATGCCCTTCACTTTAGCCACCACTTAGATGTTATGGACCCATGTCTTCAGTCCCATTGTCATTCCTGAGCACGAGGCATATAGCTCCACTGAAATGTTCCACCATGATCCCAAATCCAATTAGACCACGTGGTTCAAGTTCCAGCTCAACCACCAGTTACAGCTGTGGCTTTGTTCTTTTTCTGTTTTTGTAAAATGAGCCTATTAAGGGTGCCTACCTCTAAGGTTATTATTATAAGGATTATATAAGTTAATCTTATTTCATCAGTTCTAAGACACACTCCTCCCGCCCCAACCCAACACACACACATTTTTAGCAGCTCTGAAATGGGAACATATCTTACAATGGATGGCATTACATGGTTTTATTGGCCGCAATTTTTCTTTCTTAAAAAAAAAACAAACTCATTGCTGTCGAGTTGATTCCAACTCATAGCGACCCCATAGGACAGAGTAGAACTGCCCATAGGGTTTCCAAGGCTGTAGTCTTTATGGGAGAAGATTGCCACACCTTTCTCCCACAAAGTGGCTGGTGGATTCGAACCGCTGACCTTTTGGTTAGCAGCCGAGCACTTAACCACTGGTACATAAATCAATGGATGGTAGTCTATTATCATCAATGAGACATAGTATGTATAAAGTATTTAGAATAGTGCCTAGTACATGGGAAGTGCTCAGTAAATGTTCTTGATGGTGTTGTTCCAAGCAGAGGTCCACCAGACCTGTTCCACTGTTGGTCCCTGTTTTATCTAATCTCCCCATAGTCACCCAGTCGCTTAATCCTAATGGCTGTAATTCATTCTTCACTCCTTGTGCTTCTCCATGACTACATCTTAATCGGTGCCAGCTGTGACCGAGCCCTCCTCTCTAACAGTTCTCTTCTCATCTGCTGTTGCTGCCTGACTCAGGTCATCTTCATCTCTCCTCTGGACCACTGCAGTAGGCTCTCATCGGTTCCCCTTCCAGTCTCATTTTCTCCAATGCATTCTCCACCCTGTCTCCAGAGTGATCTTTCTAAAGTGATAAAGTTTGGATGTATCCCTCCCTGTTTAAAGCCGTTCGATGACTTCCCATTGCCTTCAAAACAATGTCAAAACTACTTAAGCTGCACCCAGGTCCCTCCAAATTTCAGCCTCTGTCACCCTTCCATACTTCAGCCATGCCAGCATACTTGCATTTTCCCAAATGTGCCCTGCTGCTTTAGGCTGCCATGCTACCTGGGATACCCTTTCTCTCCTTGTTTGCCCAGTGAACGCATACTATTCTTTCTAGACTCACTTTCAGCATCACTTCTTCTCCTAATTGCCACCTCTCCTCACGGCTCTCAGGAAGTCCTGAGCACCCCCGCTTTGTGTCCCCAGAGCATTTATAACACAAGGTTGTTTTTATCCCTCTACAGACCAGCTTTCTCAACTGAGTTATATAGGTCCTTGAGTACTGGGACTTGCTTACCCTACTCTGAAGCCCATCACCTCCAATCCTAGTCCCTGAAAAAGGATGGATTTATTAAATGTTTGCTAAATGGATAAACAATGAGCAAATCCTGACCTCCCTGGCGGGTCCTTCCTGCCCAGGAGGTCGGTCAGCCTCCCTTGTGGACACAGAGTCTCACTCTCTTGAATGCAGAGTGATAAACTTCTGTCACACATTCTTTAACTATCTCAGTATTTCAAGAAACATTTGTGTTATTTTTCGGAGTCTAAACAGGAGAAAAAGAGAACAGGAGCTTTGCAGAGTGCGAAAAGAGAACAAAACCATTCTGGAACGGATCACGAAGTCGGAACCCTGGTATCAAGCTCAAAGATGGCATGAAGACTGGGAAAGGATTGAAAAGTACAGGGATGCCATTAGGAAATACCCACGAAGATGGTATAATACACCAAGTGGAAAGGTAATTGTGGATTTCTTTTTCATCTTAAATTCAAGTGTATTTGAAATTCCCATTTTATTTCATCAGACATATGGATCTGATGATTCTTGGCTCTGTTAAGGCATTTTGTTCTATTATCAGCAAGTATATGCCAAATGGGCATATCCCAGTAATAGCATACACAGAACAATGATCCACTGATGAATTCCCTCGCAAATTTATGAGAAGATAAAAATGCGCTCAACTGATTAATTATGAGTTGTGGGGGAAAGATTTGATGAAAAATAATAACTTAGCAGAATTACTAAAACCTCGTTAGAAAATCAAGTCACGATCCCAAATTAGCTGTCACACACTGCATCAGACAGCCAAAGAAAATTAATGATTTGAAAGAGTTTGCCAGACAGTCTAAACTCTAAACTCTCCCTCTTCGTGCTGTCCTCATTGCTGGCAAAACCGTAATTCTGAATGAAGGAAGAAGAAATTATCATTTTGTCATTAATTACCCTGCTTGCAAATGTTCCAAAGAATACAATTAAAGAGTTGGAAAAATCTTCACTCATCTTACCTGTATATATAGCCATTATATGGGGAGACATTTCTGCAGCTTATTTTCTCTTGAAATGCAGTCCATCCTAGAGGGGAGAAAAACAGGATGTCAAAGCGTAAGTGAAAGATCAACCTCAAAGCATAATTTTCAGACTCTTCTAGAGCATACATCAGCAGTTACAAATAGAATAGCCACCGTCCACATTCAGGAATGTAGAAATGTTTTATTTAATTTGCACAGAGTTGGCCAAAGAAGGCTAAAAAAAGGTTTTTTTAATTTGTTGCCAAAAATGAGATATGTACATAAAAATTGAGATTTCTGGTTTCTTTTGAAACACTTGGCAGATCTGGCAAAACTGGGCCGCTTTCCTATCTGGCACCATGCAGTGGGAGCTGGGATCTGCTGTTCCAAGTCCCACAGGCCCCCACCACAGTTCATCTTCCCCAAGGTGCCCTTACTCTTGTAGGTTGCGGCTCCCTGGCCCCATAGACTTTTGAGTTGGTGTTACTTCCTGCCAACACATTTTTTTTTTTTTTTGAAATTGTACTTTAGATGAAGGTTTACAGACCAAACTAGCTTCTCATTAAACAGTTAGTACACATATTGTTTTGTGACATTGGTTACCAACCCCACAACTTGTCAACACTCTCCCTTCTTGACCTTGGGTTTCCTATTACCAGCTTTCCTGTCCCCTTCTGCCTTCTCATCCTTGCCCCTGGTCTGGTGTGCCCCTTTAGTCGCATTTTGTTTTATGGGCCTGTCCAATCTTTGGCTGAAGGGTGAACCTCGGGAGTGACTTCATTACTGAGATAAAAGGGTATCTGGGGGCCATACTCTCGGGATTTCTCCAGTCTCTGTCAGGCCAGTAAATCTGGTCTTTTTTTGTGAGTTAGAATTTTGTTCTATATTTTTCTCCATCTCTGTCTGGGACCCTCCACTGTGATCCCTGTCAGAGCAGTCGGCAGTGGCAGCCGGGCACCATTCAGTTGTACTGGATTCAGTCCAGTGGAGGCTGTGGTAGTTGTAATCCATTAGTCCTTTGGACCAATCCTTCCCGTGTCCTTAGTTTTCTTCCTTCTCCCTTGCTCTCTATGGAGTGAGACCAGTGGAGTATCTTAGATGGCTGCTCACAAGCTTTTAAGACCCTAGACGCTACTCACCAAAGTTGCATGTAGAACAATTTCTTTATGAACTATGTTATGCCAACTGAGCTAGATATTCCCCAAGACCACGGTCCCCACAGCCCCCAGCCCAGCAATTCAGTCCCTCAGGGAGTTTGGCCAACACCTTTTTTAACATGTCTGGTAGGGACGTTTTGAAGCCCCAGCCTCTCTGCCTGCTTGCCTGGACATTTTTTTTTTTGCAGAATATTGAGGCATAGAGAGAACAACTAGCTTTTGCAAAGATGCATAACGACTAAGCATTACTAATTACCAAGGCATTCAGATAATCTGGCCTGTTATGCATTTTACACTGAAAACTTCAATATTTCATTTAAAATTATTCTTTTTAATGACAAAAAACTAAACTAAAACATTTGTTTACTGTAAAAAATAATATATCAAACAATACAAAATGTGTAAATAGAAGACAAGAGTCTTCTCTCTGATTCAACTTCCTAGAAGTAATCACTGTTAACAACTTGTGTGTGAACTTTGATTTTATCCATTTTGTATATCTATATATAGATATGTAGACATTGATCTATATAACCATACCCTTAACCCGTTGCTGTCAAGTCAATGCTGACTCATAATGACCCTATAGGACAGGGTAGAATTTTCCCATAGGGTTTTCAAGGCTGTAATCTTTATGGAAGCAGACTGCCAGTGGCTGGTGGGTTTGAACTAGTGACATTTTGGTTAGCAGCTGAGCGCTTTAACCACTGCACCACCAGGGCTCCATATATAGCCAAATACATATTTGTTTGTTTAAACAAAAATACAATTATACTCTATATACTTTTCTGCAAATTGCTCATTTCATTCAATAATAAATCTTGGAAATTGTTTCACGTTGGTACATGAAGATCTTCCCCATTGCTTTTTAACATTTGCAGAGTATTTTTTACACAGATGTGTCCTACTTTATTTCATCAGTCCCCTAATTATTGACATTTAGGTTATTTTCAGTTTTTCACTATTTCAAATGAAACAGTAGTGATCATCCTAGTACATATGCCTTTCCATATACAATTATTTCTGAAATTTCTATTCCCAGCAGTAAAATTGTTACATTGAAAAGTGTGTGCACGTAAACTTTTAATAGATTTTCCCATTGCCGTCGAGTCGATTCTGACTCATAGTGACCCTATAGGACAGAGGAGAACTGCCCTGTAGGGTTTCCAAGGAGTGGCTGGTGGATTTGAACTGCCAACCTTTTGGTTAACAGCTGAGCTCTTAACCACTGCACCACAAGGGCTCCTAAATTTTTGATAGATACTACTACCAAATTGTTCTCCAAAAATGGTCTAGCAATTTTTATTTCTACCTGAAGTGGTTGGTATGAAAGGGTCGATTTCCTCATATTCTGACCAACACTGAGTAGTATATAGACTTTTAAATTTTGATCAGTTGAAAGGCAAAAAAAAAAAAAAAATTATATTTCATTGTTTTTATTTGTATTTCTCTGATTACTAACAAAGATAAGTATTTTTATATGTTTATTTATGTATTTTATTCTTATGAATTGGCTTGTCCATATCTTTTGACCAATTTTGTACTGGATGTTTCTTTTAATTATTAATATGTAGGAACTGTTCGTATGTTATGAAGATTTACTTTTTTCTGTTATAGATGTCATAAATATTTTCTTCTACATTATCGCTTGCCATTTCACATAAGTTTATTTTTAGGTAGTCGTATCTGTGAATATTTTCCTTTAAGGCATCTGGTTTTTATGCCATACTTAGAAAGGGTTCCACCAAGCTAAGATCATAAAAGTATTCTCCTACATTTTCTCCTAATACTTTTATGGTCTTCTTGATCACCTTTATATCTTTAATAAAAATGGAATTTAACATATATGAAATTTTTGTAAGTTGCATAAATTAGAGATCAAAGTTCATTTTTTACGAATTTATTACAAGTTTAAAAAATCAGCTTGCAATATCAAAAACGTCTAATATTCTTCATACTTCATAAAAATTGCTTTCCAAAAATTTATAGCTATTTACACTTCCTTAGGAGTCCACACAGTGGCTGCAACGGTGGGCTGAAGCACAGCAACAATTGTGAGGATGGTGCAGGACTGGGCGGTGTTTTGTTCTGTTGCACACTGGGTCGCTATGGGTTGGAACCAACTCCACGGCACCTAACGATAACAACAGGAGTCCCCAGGTGGTGCAAATAGTTAATGCAAAGCTGGAACTTCAAGAGGCGACTGGCAATCTACTTCCAAAAATTCAGCCGTTGAAAACCCTACAGAGCACAGTTCTACTCGAAGGCCATGAGTTGGAGTCCATTAACAACGCCATGTGACAGAGTAGAACTTCCCCATAGGGTTTTCTAGCTTGTAATCTCTAAGGGAAGAGATTGCCAGGTCTTGCCTCCCTTGGAGCCGCTGGGTGGGTTCAAATCACCAACCTTTTGATTAGCAGCTGAGCACTTATCTGTTGCACCACCAGGCCTCTTTGGTTTTGGTTTGTGGTTGTTATGTGCCATCGAGTCAGTTCTGACTCAGAGTGACACTATAGGACAGAGTAGAACTGCCCTGTAGGGTTTCCAAGGAGCAGCTCGTGGATTTGAACTGCCGACCTTTTGGTTAGCAGCCCAGCTCTTAACCATTGCACCAGGTACATAAAAGGCCCACTTCACACTCATTACCAGCATTCCAAGTTAATGTGTGGAGGGATATCACCACTTTGCTAGTCTGGCTGACAAAAAAAGTGGTATCTTGTCTGATTTTGCACTTCTTTGATAACTAGTGAAGTTGAATAATTTTTTCCTATTTTTATTGGCCATTTATTTCCTTATATGAATAGTTTATGTCAGGTACCTTTTTTCTATTGGAATCTTGAAGTTTTTATTCCTATTGCTACGTCTGAAGCACTCTTGTGGCCTGTATCTGTCTGAGACATTTTTGGCCATCATCTTATTTTTAATATTTCTGTATTGTTTTGTTTTAGGTGTGTCTCTTATATGCACACTCCTGTAGTTTTACTTTTTAACCTAGTCTGAGAAGTTTTTTCCCTTAGTTTTATCCATTTATATTTATTGACATAAATATTGTGTTTGTTCTCACTTCTGCTTTTGTTTCCTTTTCCCCCCTTTTATATAGTTGTTGTTTTCTTTAGCAAATGTCAAGAAAATGCTTGGATCCTACGCTTCAAGTCCATCCTTTATTTACTTACTTTGAATCTATTGCTATTCCCTCTTTACATAACAGGAAACAGAGCCCATGAGTGAAGACAGATGCTAAGATAAAGTAAAACAAAGAAAGGGAAAATGGAAGTGCCTGGAGATAGGGTTTC